AGCGTTCATTGTATATCAGAAAAGGAGGCTATATGATATATTCGAAGCCTGAGGGCCGGGTCATACTTTGCACTTCGCACAATCGACTGGTCGATATGAACTTATTCACTCGAATTGTAAACCGGACTGCAAATATGACCCAACCATGACTCAAGCGTCATAGGTCACTGCATGAATCCGAAGCGCAGCAGTGGATTCCCTACAAGACCATGAAGAGGAGTCGCTTTCAGACAGCGCTCAAGAAAGGTTTTATTAGGAAGAGAAGACTTGAACGAATAGGCAAATATGTTTAGATAGTCTACCGAGATTTTAGAAATTTGACATACATACCTCTCCAATGCGGGAAGATTCTGAATTTTCTTGTAGGTCTTCTCGATTTTCCTTGTAAGGCCCTCCTTTTCTGCTTCCATCGACTTGAGATCGGCTTTGATGTCCTCGATCAGCATAGTGTCTTGCTGTACATCGAGTACATTTGTGTGCATCTCCTTTAAAATGCACGTTTAAGGTAGACCTCTTGAATAATTAGATGATGGTAAATCAATAAGAATATCACTGTAACGCTATGGTATCAGGTGTGAAAGTCTTCATTCTTTCACTGTATTTTTTGCCATTATTAAATCCATATCTTGCTCATTTCTCCCACCTTTTGAGTTCTAACTTCGAAAAGCGCATATCGCATGTGCATGATGTTACCGTTAGCACGCACAGGCGAACCGGTGACCGTTCTCTTGTACAACCTGTGGATTGAAAAAACACCATGGAAATTCACCTTGTTGCAGTTCTGATCAGGACCAGCGAGAGTGAGGGTCTCTATCACTGAACAGCTGTCCTCACAAAACAAGAAAGAAAAGAAAGACGAAGCATCCACTGCCTATCAAAAGTGTTGACTCCTTTTAGGCAGGATCCTACGTTGAGGAATGAAATGAATAGAGAGGTGTTAAGCATGCCGCAAACGCATTCAGAGTTAGCTATTCGTTCGATTCGGCGTTTTTCTCGACCGAAACTGTCAGCATACCGGATTGACGGGCTAACGTAAGTATAAACGCCACCCAGTAATTCGTCTGCTACTCATAGTAACAGTATAGCTTGATAAGTCAAGCGACCTTGAATGAAGCATTTACATACTGCTCACGACTACCTGCGACATGGACACCTGGCATAAAGCCAAAGCGCATTTCCGATCCTCGTAGTGCAATCGAGGAGTAACCAACCAGGATCCAAAAGTTGGCTGCTGCTGAATGCTAGAGCCACAACTTTTATTCACGGATGAGCGCGACTAACCGCTGCTGTCGCGGATGTCTCACCGGACTCTGAGGCACTTTTTCCAGGTCTTCTTCAGAGGGAGTGAACCTAGTCTTTTTCCTCTTATAAATCCTCTGAATGGTGAAATTCTTTTACCTGTTTAAAAATCATTTGTCAAAAAAGCTCTCTACCTTGAATCTTTCCATGTACTGCGCAAGATCATTTCGCAGTTGAGTCACATCGTTGTCCATCAAATTGTTAGGAATTTCATCCTAAAGTTTAAGGTTCAATTTCTAACGTATCTCATTACATGCAATTAGCAATCATGAATGAATGCATCGAATTGAGAAATATTTCCAAACTATAGCTAATTGAAAACCCTAACTCTGATCTATACAATACCGCTACTAATTTTTGTTCAATCGACGGAATGCGACGCAGTCAGTCCGTCGCAACCGTCGCCTCGCCATAACTCGTGAACAAATGGACCAGGTCATTCGAAATTTATACCACTGGATAGCTCTGCTCACGAAGAATTCAACGGTATAGAGGACTATTGAGTTTCTCTGAATTTTCAGCTTCATTCTCATGAAATTTATCAAATTACCTGAGGCTGACTCATTAGCGGGCGTCGCTCGCTATATTATAACCAGAGGGGAAAAGGTATTAATGGTAGTATTTAGCGAGTAATAAAGTTATTATTTTACTTCTATGTAAAGTGAAAAAGCGACTGTTGTGTTCTTCAGATAGTGCTCGTCATTTTGGTACCGAATTCATCCCAGGTGGGTCAGCTTTGATAAAAGTCATTTTTGCATGGAAAAGCTCCTTTGGGCCGAAGTATAGCGAAAACTAATAGGATCTGAGCCTTGTCACTTAACTTTCCTTTTCTACAGAGCCAACCCCGTTGACGAGAAGTTTTTGAAGTTCCTACCTAGCACTGGCTGTCAATTTCGAGGTCTTGAATCAGAGAGAAATTCACATTTTTTCATGGAAAGAAAATAGTACAAAAAGTATACCATTGTATTCCTCGTTAAAAATGCTTTACATTAATATAAATTACAAATCACAAAATTCTCTGTGGTTTTTTCGAGTTTTATCGCAGCCATCTCTCCTGCACTAAACCATTCTGCCCAATTAGGCGTCTCGCCGAGCTGCTGACCTCCGGATCTCTCTCAATTACCAGAGGGCTTTTGTCGCACCTCAAGATCAACGAGAGAATGGTGAGACTGTGTTATTTTTCTATGAACAGCAAATGGTCGAACTTAGCTAATTCAGAATAGATCACTGTGTGCCACGCTTCTGTTGGGAGACCCATTGAGTGAAGCATAACTCATTTTCTATACAAGTACCACGTAATCGGAACCCGTTACCTCACACTTTACTAGGTTCACGGAACCAACGGGGCGGTACTTACTAAGCCCGGCCAGCTCCCGCTAAGTTCGACATTTGCTGTTCATAGAAAAATAACACAGTCTCACCATTCTCTCGTTGATCTTGAGGTGCGACAAAAGCCCTCTGGTAATTGAGAGAGATCCGGAGGTCAGCAGCTCGGCGAGACGCCTAATTGGGCAGAATGGTTTAGTGCAGGAGAGATGGCTGCGATAAAACTCGAAAAAACCACAGAGAATTTTGTGATTTGTAATTTATATTAATGTAAAGCATTTTTAACGAGGAATACAATGGTATACTTTTTGTACTATTTTCTTTCCATGAAAAAATGTGAATTTCTCTCTGATTCAAGACCTCGAAATTGACAGCCAGTGCTAGGTAGGAACTTCAAAAACTTCTCGTCAACGGGGTTGGCTCTGTAGAAAAGGAAAGTTAAGTGACAAGGCTCAGATCCTATTAGTTTTCGCTATACTTCGGCCCAAAGGAGCTTTTCCATGCAAAAATGACTTTTATCAAAGCTGACCCACCTGGGATGAATTCGGTACCAAAATGACGAGCACTATCTGAAGAACACAACAGTCTCTTTTTCACTTTACATAGAAGTAATATAATAACTTTATTACTCGCTAAATACTACCATTAATACCTTTTCCCCTCTGGTTATAATTATAGCGAGCGACGCCCGCTAATGAGTCAGCCTCAGGTAATTTGATAAATTTCATGAGAATGAAGCTGAAAATTCAGAGAAACTCAATAGTCCTCTATACCGTTGAATTCTTCGTGAGCAGAGCTATCCAGTGGTATAAATTTCGAATGACCTGGTCCATTTGTTCACGAGTTATGGCGAGGCGACGGTTGCGACGGACTGACTGCGTCGCATTCCGTCGATTGAACAAAAATTAGTAGCGGTATTGTAGTGTCCATGATATTCGTCTTTTATTGGTATAAAATTTTCCCTCTATTTTATCCGAACTCTAGCAGAAAATTACATTCCACTCGGAAGAAACATTGGCCCTCTATGTTACGTAGATATCATCCACTTCTTTTTCTATTTTTATTTGATGTGATTTCAAGCTTGTAAAAGAGCAAGTCTTGCCCACGAAAATTAGGAAGCTCTTTTCTCCAAAAGGAGAAATCGATCGATGGTATACCCTTTACTCAGTCATAACCTTTTCCAAAAAATCCGATATTTGGATGTTCAAAAAGTCGTGTCGATCTCTTTTCAAACCACCTTTTTCCGCCAAAACTCAGGTGAGACCCAAAAAATTTTAACAACTGAGATGTTCTAAAATATATCTGGAGGAAACCGTGGCTTAGTCTAACAAGGGAGGTCTTTCAGGGCAAGGTGCGCTTTTTGGAAACGGTTTAGTACATGTTGTAGGGACGCATGTATGGACCACAAAACCATGTTTCGTTTTCGCTGAACGGTTTTAGTAGTACCAAAAAAGTGGTGAATAATACTCTTGATGGTTCAATCCCCCGCGACTAAATTTTGCAATCAAGGTTGGCGGCCACTTGTTGGCTTCAAAATGGTCCTGACGATGAATTTGACATCTGATTTTGATATTTAGCGCGATTTGGCACCAAACCGTAGGCGCCAACCCAAATGCAAAATTTAGTCGCCACGGGGGATCGAACCCTTAACAGTACCTTATGCTTCTTTTTTGGTACTGCTATAACCGTTCAGCGAAAATGAAACATGGTTTTGCGTTCCCTACATGCGTCCCTACAATATGCACAAAACCGTTTTGAAAAAGCGCACCTTGCCCCTGAAAGACCTCCCTTGTAGGAAGCAAGTACGATTGTTTTCATCAGTTTGGTTAGGGAATATTTTTTTTTGGAATAATCTGGGCGTTCTTGTAGATTGGCCTGTTATATCGGATACTGAAAATTCGGATCTAAATAGCATAATGAAAGTAAAATTTTGACGGGCGTGAGCAAATAAGAGCAGGAAAAACGAAAGAACTAAAAACATAAACACGGTGGTTCCAGAGAAAAATGTCAGCTCGTAGAACGTTCTGTGAATTAGAGGTTGACCAGAGAAGCTGAATTCGGAAAGAAACACGACACGGTTTTGGGTAACCTGATATCGGAATGTTCATAAGAGGTCATGGCTGAGTACACCGTATATCAGTGATCGATTTCTCCCAGTGGAAAGGGAGTTCGAGTCTGGGCTCATTTTTGCTTTACAAACTTCTCATTTTACAAACCTGAAATTTAACCAGTTTTCTATGAATGTAGAAAACAAGATTTCGTCGTGTGGACAATTTTCTTTCGGATTATACGTAACATTACGTAGAACCACGGGATTTCACAGAAAAAACTTTGGATAAGCAATGTCGTTTCTTGAAAAGGGAATGTGAAGGGAAACGACATGTCTCATTGGACAACCCTAACACTTTGGAGGCAGCTATTCGAGAGCGAACCTGTATGAGATACTTGGCGAGGTAGGCCCTCTGTTTAAGCATATCGCTGTTGGAGAATAAGTAGACAAGCACAGGATAAATGGACTTCTTTGCACCTTCGACCAGACCTGCTCTCCATTCTTCTCTGAATTTTTTTTTGCCTCTCAAGCACTAAGGATCGAACTGGTTACTTACAGCTGGTCAATATCCAAATAAGGAGGTTTTGAATCGAAGAAATTTTAAGGTGTAAAGGATGCGTAGAGCATCCTTCGTCGAGTCTCCTTGGAATGTCAGTGGTTTGCTGTTTGCGTGATCCAGCTGGAAATACGCCCTCTTTTCAGATTATTCAAAACCGGGTTTAAGCAATGAATATTACCTGATCACGTCGCTCAGCTGCTGTAGCAAAACATTCGGTGGCCATGTATCGAAACCGATTAGGGAGGTATTGCAGTTGAACGGTGGCGAGTTTAGACTTTCGACGATAAATTTCAATGACTCTGATGACATTTTGGGTGGACAGCGGCTAAAACGGTCGGGATAGCTGGCCGCCGTAATGCTGCATCACTGTTGCTATGGAGAACCGCTTCAACAAAGCAGACTATTTTGAGCGGCTCAAATGCGATGATGGATAAACAGGGTCAGTGTCTTGATTCGATTAGTCTTCTGGTGTGAAGCCATACACCTGACTCACCTTCTGTAGTGTAGGGATGCTACAACGTGATTCTAACAGGACGTCGTTCTGAACCTACCTTCTGCCAGCACTATCTGGCCGTTTCTGCACCTTGCACTGAAGTTCCTCTCTGCTTCTCCGCTCTCGAGAGATGTCGCCAGGGTAGAGGGTGGATACTATCCTCCTCTCGGATCTTACCCCTGCTTCTATGGCACTCGTCCAGGCTCAGATAGAACTCGTCCTTATCACTTTCGGGGCACCCGGCTTGCGGTGCGTACACGGAGAGTATGGTCCAGTACCCCTCGTGTCTATCCTCACAGCCATGATCCGATCGCTGATCCTGTTCACAGCGGAGACATAGTCCTTGAGCGACTCCGCTACCGCTATGGCCACACCGTTCCGCTTGGTGTCTTCTCCATTGTAGTAGAGTTTGACACCTTCCCCGATTTCCCTGGCCTTAGCACCTTTCCATCGCGTCTCCTGAAGGCATAGGACTTGGATATTCCGCGTCATCAGATCAGCAACCTCTCGGGACTTCCCAGTTAGCGATCCTACGTTCAGAGTCCCAATTCGAACTAGCTTCTTTGGCCGAGGCCGTTCACTCCTCGGTAGCCCTCGCATACTGACCACAGAACTCGGGCGGGGGTTCTGCCCCGAAACAGTTTTGCGGGGTATGCGACTTCTTCCGGGTGACGTCCTAGCATTAACACTGATTCTTTTGCAACTTTTAGACATGTTTGGTGTGACGGGGGGATCTTCATCAGCCGGCCTGTCAACCTGGGCCTAC